CCAGATGTCATCCTCCTCTTCGTACACATGCGATGTCTTGGCAATTGGGCAAAGTGCATCTACAGCTGCTCTGCCTTTCACAACCACAACTCTGTCAACACCTTCAAAGAAGTTCTTATATTAACATTTTTATATTTTTGTATCCTGATGATTACACTAGGAAAAGAAAAGAAAAAGGATATTTAAATTGCATTATGGTATATTCTTATATCTAATCAACCTTCCATTCCTCTATTCAATTAATTATTATTGTGAACTAATATATCATTACATGGAGCTATACTACTACCAAATTTTTACATTAACTACATTGTACTTTCACATACATACCCTCAATATTCTTTTTCTCCCAGAACATGTCCTAATGATACAAGAAGAGGAAAATATCAAGCACAGATCTAATATGGTTAGTTATACAAGTGGAAAGAGCTTACACAAGAGGTCTAAGTTAACATTCCAATAACGTAAAAGCCCACCTGTCTTGACACCAGACTTTTGAACAGGTATATTACTGGTATCTTTGTTCTCTTTTTCTTCAATACTTGTGCCTGACACTTTTTCCTTCTTCTTTCTACCTTTGGTTTTCCCCCCACCTGGAGTCTTCGCAGGTATTTTTTCCTCGGGTTCGACTTTTGCTTCCCCTTTGGGTTTGACTCTCTTTGATGTTGAAGGCTTTTCATCATCAACTGGAGTGGAATCTTCGGCAGGAGTTTTTCCGCCCCCATGTAGAAGGCTTCTCATTCCCATTTTCGTCTCCCCTATTGGCTCTGATTATTACTTCCTCTTCCTCCTCTTTGACTTCAGCTTTTTTCTTTCGTCCTCTTTTTGACGTAGAAGGCTTCTCACTCCCATTATCTTCTGCTTCCTCTTTTGGCTCTACCTTGATCTTTACCTCCTCTTCCTCCTCATTGACTTCAGTTTTGTCGCTTTTCTTGCCAGCAACTGGGCTTGTTTCTTCACAGTCACCTCTTCAATGGCTTCTTTGTTGGCTCGTTTTCTTGTCCTCCTTGGCGTGGCTTCAATTTCTTCTGCATTTTGAACAGTGTCTTGAACAGTAGCTGCCGAAGAAAACTTTCATAATTAATCTAATATAATAGGGTAATATGTTAAACTATCTCAACATATATACAGAGTAAATACATGTAATTCTCGTCTCCATGGCATATTTAAAGATTTAATGAACTAAATTCACTACTAAATCTGTGCATGTAAAGAATAATATTGGAAATTAAGAAAATAGGCCACGACAAAGACTGCATGGAGAGTAAGTCCACGGCAACTGGGTTAGGGTCGGGGTCACAAAAACCGATTGGGAAACAGCAATGGAAACAATAAAAGGTCACCTATTTTCACTAAATAACTGAAACATGGAATAACAATTGCAAGGTAGGGTAGCTGTGTATAGCTGTGTAAAACAAAAAAACTTACCAAATTACCAACTTTTTGCTCGAACAAATATACTGGAATTGTTAAGCTTTGCTGGACCACTGAACACAACCAACTGGTGGAGGCCAGTGCCTTACATGTAAGTGTCTCCTATACATTACTTTTATGGATTGATTTAATGCTCTTTGGGATAAGCATTGAGCATAAAGTTTAATATTTAAACATTTCATCCTTATCATAATAATAATTTTAACTGTAAACCTATCATTATAAAGTCTGTTATCATAGCTGTATCATGTATTTACATGATTACACAGCAACGCCAAACTTAAGACCTTGAATTTTCGGATTCTTTTCAGGCTCTGTATCTCTTACGTGTCCAATAACTTCGTTAGTTTTGAGCTGCGGAGGAAGTACATAAAAGAAAAGTTCCTTAGAATCACTCGTATTATCGTTTGCATTTATCATTTTCCGTTTAAAAGAAGGTTGAAGGAAACTGGACCAAAAAGATGGCTCGTTTGAAACTTTTCCAGGTAATAAAATCATTAATTTTGGGACCGCATCTCTCCCTGACAAATAAAAGAATGGTATAACACACAACCACCTGATCAATAACAAACCTCAAATATCTTATTCCAACCCGTGTCATTCCTGCTTTTGAATTCCTTCAAGCGTAATTCCCACGAGTTGACGCAAGCAATCAGAAATACCACAACCTTTTAACTCACCTCTCCGTCTCACCATGTCACCGACTTAATGACCACGACTAACACGAGTTCCGAATGAACAACCAACACCGAATGGCCTCAGTCTTCCTGTAATTGCAAGCGGGAACGGTAATAGTGGTGCAATCGCAGGGGCGGCGCGGGTTTCCTTCTCCCGCTCAAACTTCCTCTTGTTTTCGTCTGTTTGCACATTTTCTTGTTATAACGTGAAAGTTCGTGAGAGAAAACGGAGGCTTGATGAGGGGGAGGCTACTGTAGATTTCATTTTCATTTGAATTTCTATTTTGTTGTTTTTATTAATTCGTATATTGTTATTACTCTTTCTAGGTAAATGTAACACACACACACTCATTCACTCACTCATTCAACTCTCTCTCTCTCTCTCTCTC